AGCTAATGTTCCCTATTTTGTGGGGTGAATGTGTTCTGACCGCAGTGTACACTATCCACCGCACTCTGTCGGGCCTTTTGGGGGGGGGGGGGGGAAACTCCCTATGAAATTATTTTTGGGCGTGCACCTGATTTTGGTCATTTGCGGGTCTTTGGGTGTTTGAGCTTTGCTCATAACTTAAAGGCCCGAGGGGATAAATTTGCCTCTCGGAGTCGGAAGTGCGTGTTTGTTGGATATCCGTCCCAGAAAAAGGGGTGGACAAGTTTTCTGCCCGTCATCATATGTTTCTCAGAGCAATTCTTGCAGGTCGTGAACCTCGTTCTTTCTGAGAGGCTTTGACTGATCCAGAATAGAAGGCGGCCATGAAGAGTGAAATTCGTGCTCTTGAGAGTAATCACACCTGGGATATGGCCAAACTCCCACATGGCAAAAAGGCTCTTGGGTGCAAATGGGTTTACAAAGTCAAATATCACTCTAATGGCACAGTGGAACGACTTAAGGCGAGACTCATGGTCCTTGGCAATCACCAGAAAGCGGGCATTGATTATACTGACACCTTTGTACCCGTAGTGAAGATGGTTACGGTTCGTGTCTTGCTTGCAGTCGCTGCAACTAAAAATTGGGAATTACACCAGATGGATGTCCACAACACTTTTCTTCATGGTGATTTGGCTGAAGAGGTCTACATGAAGCCTCCGCCAGGATTTTATCCTTCCCGACCTGACCTAGTGTGTCGCCTCAATAAGTCCTTGTATGGCCTGCATCAAGCACCCCGTTGTTGGTTCGCCAAGCTGACTTGTTCTTTGCGGACTTATGGTTTTAGACAGTCATACTCTGACTACTCTCTGTTCACTTATCATAAGGGTGATATCTCCTTACACGTACTCATTAATGTAGATGACTTAATTATTGCCGGCAATGACTCTATGGCGCTATCTCGCTTTAAGAGCTATCTTCATACGTGTTTCCATATGAAAGATTTGGGACCTCTCAAATATTTTCTTGGCATTGAGGTGGCACGCAGTCCGGAGGGTTTGTTTCTATGTCAGCGCAAATATACTCTGGACATTATCTCTGAAGCAAAATCAGCGACTTTTCCCATGGGGCAAAATCATTCGTTGGCCTTGGCTACGGGTGAATTAGTGTCTAATCCCGAGTCATACCGCCGGATGGTTTGCCGCCTCATTTATCTCTCTTTCACACGGACGGATCTGGCTTATGCCGTTCATATTTTATCTCAGTTTATGCAGGCACCCCGACAGGAACATTGGCAAGCTGTTATTCATGCAATCCGCTACCTGAAGGGTTCACCAGGCTAGGGCATTCTTCTCACCGCATCTTCCGATTTGCAACTCACTGGCTTGTGCGATTCCGACTGGGCGAGTTGTCCTCTCACTCGACGCTCTCTTACCGGGTGGATCATATTTCTTGAGGGCTCCCTAGTCTCCTGGAAAACTAAGAAACAACACACAGTGTCTCGTTCCTCTACGGAAGCTGAGTATCGCTCTATTGCGGCAATCACTTCGGAATTAAAATGGTGCAAAGGTCTTTTACTGCCTCTTGGGGTGACTCACTCACGACCTATATCTCTACGCTGTGATAGTCGTTCTGCTCTCCACATTGCACATAATCCTATCTTCCACGAACGCACCAAACATATTGAGGTTGACTGTCACTACGTTCGGGACGCCATTCAGGATGGCACTCTTACTACTCATCACGTTTCTACCAGCGATCAGCTAGCTGATATTTTCACAAAGGCCCTCAGTCAGAGACAATTTAGTTTCCTTCTCAGTAAGTTGGGCATTTTCAACCCCCATGCTCCAACTTGAGGGGGGTATTATATTACATTATGGGCTTGTAACTTAATTGATTAGACTATTTAGTTTTGTACGTACATAGTTAGGCCAAGGGCTCTTATTTAGACTTAGACTTGTGTATATATATATATATCGGTTCCCATGTGTATGTAAGGCAAGCAATATTCCAATTGAATATACTTCTTAAAATATTGTCATTTCATGATGGGCTAGAGTTATCATTTCTTATCCCGATGAACTCATAACTCATCGGCTTCGAGGGTCAACCTGCACGGATTGTAGGTTAAGTGGGTTGGCACATGCATGTTGTGAGTTATCCCAAATACAAATATCTATATTTGAGTTTCATTGTCTTCAATATTGATTCATTACCACCTGTTGAGGTTAACTCCTCGTGATCTAAAAACCCAACACAGTCATTTGGGCATTCGTGGGATCTTTTACTAATTATGAACGCAATATGAAGGCAAAAGCAATAGCAAGAAAGGATGAGGGGGAAAGTGGGTCAAGTTCTATTACAGACTTACCGAGCCGAATCCCAACCCCATGTTCTACACTGACTTATTACAGAAGAGCCAGAGAGAAGTCTAAACTGTAGTGTGCAAGTTTGTCAATCCTTTATAATAAAATAAATGCGAGTATTTATACTACAATGTAATAGGCGAAGGTGTTGATGTGTCGAGCCCTCACTGGATAGCCCGCAACCATAAAATCCTCCACATCTAGTGCACTAAATGCGCTTCCCGCCAAATGTAGCCCTCCCGCCAACTGCTTTAGGGAGCTCTCTCATATACAACCACCACTATTCGAGAAAACACCAAGTTTCAGAATATCACTGACCGATGGATCTCATGCGGAAATTGGGCCCACGTGCTAGCTGGAAAGCCTAGGGGTATTTAAACCTCATTCACAATTTATGCTTCACAATTTATACCTCATTCACAAATCATATTTCGCATCTCGTACCCGTGCACCGCACGGTAAGATATGTGTTTAATTTTTTTCTTAAACTTATATGGACCGCGGATTGTATATAACTCGCCAATCGAAGTTTGAAAGAAAACACGATTGACTACATATACAGATGTCAAAATGAGTCAAACTCCGTCGGGCTTGCTCATTTTATGGTGGATTGCATTTTAATAACCTGTTTAACTCACTGGTTTTGTGGGTCAACATGCATAGGTTGTGGGTTGACTATACAACTTGCGATTTGGTCAAAATATAAACATCTAGTTTAGACTTTCACTATCTTAATTATTGTTTGTTTACTATGAAAATTATTTGCTATTATGTACTTATTATTTAACAGCAACCTTCATCGAACTACTATTTCTATAATAATTAATAACCATTCAAATAAATTATTCCTTCATATTTTTTATTTTATAGTTGAAAATAATTTTTTAACAATTAGTAGTCATTGTCTACAAATATATACTCAAAAATCTAATTATAACCTTATTTTTGTACAATTAGTTTTTTTGATTTAATAACATTTTTTAATTAAACTTATCAACTATTGTGTGTTTAGTATTCTAATTTCTTATATTTCCTTTTATTACTACTTACACACAAATGAGCTTTTTATGAGGTTCAATAGGTGCCACAGAACAGATCCCTCAATTTATGGGTCCCCAAGTTCTTAATAGTTTATTAGTGTTATATAGTAATATTATATATTAACATTAATCAGTTATTTACAGTGATTAAGAAGAAAAATACAGATATATCATTTTTTTTGTCGGCCTTTTTACTTCTCTTTTATTCAAACTGCTTGAGTAATGAGGCATGTTGCTTTAAATCAAGTATAAAGTAAATTTTAGATTTTTATTACATTATTTACTAATTATTCAATTGATTTGAGTATACGTATGGAGATTGTTACTTTCATATTTTGAGTAAAATTGATACTTTCATTCAATTCATTTGAGTAAAATACAGTGATTAAGAAGAAAAATACAGATATATCATTTTTTCGTCGGCCTTTTTACTTCTCTTTTATTCAAACTTTTTGAGTAATGAGGCGTGTTGCTTTAAATCAAGTATAAAGTAAATTTTAGATTTTTTATTACATTATTTAATTATTATTCAATTGATTTGAGTATGGGTATGAAGATTGTTACTTTCATATTAATGTGGGGTCTAGATTTTACATTTGGAACCGGGGCTTCCAAATTCATTAGACGACTTTTGCTTACCCACACACACACACACTACGTATATAATTTGGATCAAATGTGAACATGATCTAAGAAGAAAAATGAGAATGAATTTGGAGCATTAGATTTCAGAGTTACTCATTGTGTTAAATAGAAATGTGCACTACCATAAATAAAAAAATGAAGTGGCATTTTGTAAATAAGTTTTATCTTTTATGCCCATTTAAAGTACCATTGTTTTAATTTTATGTGTGTACATCCATTAATCGTGATGATGTGCATCGTTTTAGATCATTCTTATTTCAGGGTAATTATTTTCCAGATCTTTTTCCATATGTATTTTTTACATTGATCCACGGAGCACCCTATAAAACCTGCAAGTTTGTTGGAAAAGAAGTATGAGAGAAATATTTTTTATTTTAAGAGACTAAAATTTGTTATTTATTTTTTATTTTTGAGTATTTGCAATTTATGTGCTACTGTGAAGTGAAAGTTTTTACCTATACTTATACACAACGTTGTGATGCATAAATACAAATATACATATATATAATACTCCTAACTTATAAGTACTCATAAATTTTTATCTAAATTTGTATTGAAATACATATGAGTGAGGGTTCGGAAGTTGAATAGTTTTTGTTTAATGGTGGTGCCACATGTCAATTATATCTCCAAATAGCTCTCCAAGAGTTAGCTTTATTATATTATATAGATTAAATCTTGTCTTGATATAAACATACATAGAAGATAAGGCATATGATGTTGAAGTCCCACACCGAAAAATTAAAAAGCAATAAAGTGATGTATTAAAATATGAGTTACTCCGCCTACTATATTGACCTTTTAGTTGGAATCCGAAGTCTTAACTGTGAGATTTTGGGATAATACAATATTACTTAGGAATATTTGTATCCTAATATGTTTTAGTCTCCGAAGAGGCAGCTGGAAAAAATATTTAGCCCTAGGCTCTTGATACCATGTGAGATTTTGGGAAAAGGTACTCCAATAGAAGTCCTGACAAGTGTATTATACTAAAAGAGTTTAAAACATATTAAGAAACAAATACTCCTAAATAATATTCTATTATTAACATTGTATTAGAGCAAGGAAAGATCCATTTGTGGCGGAAGATTTCAGCACTCTGTTTTGTCTTCAACGATGGCAGTAAAAGATGGCGGAGATCATTCTTCAACAAAAATCAGCCATCGATCATTTTCTTCATGGGACCACATGATAGTCTGGACAGACTAAGCAACGATTGACCTGAAATGGTGGAATTTGTGGTGGATCCTTCACCTTCTCGCACGGAGGCTGTAGACAGTAGTGGAGTAACGGAACATATATATACGGTATTATGGGTCCAGCACATATTTGTAATATTTATATTGCTTTTGTAGTCTATGTTTGGGCCTTTTCATGGATTTTTATGTCCTATTTTGTGGTCCATTTGATATTGCACTTTGGGATTCTACACAAGTTTATTGGGGTTCCTTTTGCTGTAAAAAATCATTTTGGAAAGGCTGAGCATATGGATGGATGGAAACACCACACACGGAAAAACATAAAGTTTTGACACCATTTCCAATTTTCTGCCTGCACTGCGTTGCTTCATTCAGCTCGTCGATCGGATGGGTTCCCGTGGTCGGATTTTGCTGAAATTCGGACAGCTTATTCATGACTTCAAGTGGCTTCATTTTGTACGGTCGGATTGTTCATTTGAGCTCTGTTTTGTTCAGACACTCTGCTCGAACAGATATGCAGTTTTGGGTGATTTTCTACACCTAATTGTGTTATTTTGGTCTCTTATTGTTCTTGGTGATTGTTGGTGGGCTGTGAATCCTTTGTAAACTGATTTGGGGTTCATTTAACCTCATTTATCAATAAGTGTGATAGAGTATATAGACTCGAACCCCCTGATTTAAGGGTGGACTCCTCAAGAGGTCCCATGATTTTTTATCCTTCACGTTGAAGGGTTTTCCACGTAAAAAAAACGTGTGTGTGCTCCGTGTGCTTTATTTCCACTCCTTGAGGTAATTTGGTTGTGTTTCAATTTGTATTGGTTGGGTTGCTTATTTAGTTGATTGTCTTCAGTGTGTGACATTGTGGGTGTCATAGAGATCCCTTGTTTGATCCTACAACTTGGTATCAGAGCCAGAGTTTAATTTTGTCACATTATGGAGTCGAGTAGTAGCAATTCAATGATAAAATTGGCATCAACTAATTATTCTATTTGGAGACCTATGATGGATGACATATTATATTGTAAGGACTTGTATGACCCAATTGAATATGTCACCAATCCAGATGGTACTGTTTCTAAACCATCCAAATCAGAGAAAATTGAAGAAAGAGAATGGCTAAAGTTGAAAAGAAAGGCTTTAGAGACTATTAGGCAATGGGTTGATATAAGCATTTTCAACCATGTGTCACGAGTATGACCCATATGATTGTGGAAGAAGTTGGAAGGTCTTTATGAATGAAAGATTGCTCATGATAAAGCTTCTTTGATCAAGAAACTTGTTAATTTTAAATTGAGAAATGGTAAGTCTGTTTTTGAGCATCTTAGTGACTTTCAGATATTATTAATACTATGAAAACTTGTCTTGATGATGAGTTGCAGGCTTTATTTCTCTTGAGTTCTTTACCAGACAGTTGGGAAACCTTGGTTGTGAGTATTAGTAACTCTGCCCTGGATGGTGTGCTATCTTTGGATGTCATCCAAGAAAGCATGTTTCATGAGCAAATCATAAGAAAGGTGATGGGAGTTGATAATACACATGTTCTTGTTGTTGAGATTAGAGGAAGAAGCAAGAAAAGGGGTCCTAAATATCACAATAACTCAAGAAGCGGGTCAAAGTCTAGTGATGGGAAGAATCTCACTACATGCAATCATTGCAAGAAGCCTGACCATATCAAGAAGTATTGTTTCCATTTGAAAGGGGAACAGAGGAAGAAGAATGGCTCACAGAAAGAGGGAGATGACAAAAACATTGCAACAACATCTTCTAAGAGTGATGATGATGATGTTACTTTGATTTCTGCAACTAGTGAGTGTCATCATGTTGATAGTTCATACTCAGAGTGGCTGGTAGATACAAGTGTTTCATATCATTGTGTTCCCGTAAGAGAGTACTTCATGAACTACGAAACTGGTGATTTTGGTAGTCTAAGATGGGTAACCAGAGCTCAGCAAGCATTGTTGGATTAGTTGATATTCGTGTAAAGACTAATATTGGATGCATACTTACACTAAAAGGTCTGTGCCATATTCCTGATCTACACCTTAATTTGCCATCTGCTAATGGTCTTGATCAAGAAGGTTTCAGACACACCTTTGAAGATGGCAAGTGGAAATTGTCTAAGGGTTCTATGATAGCTGCACGAGGCAAGTTGTGTTGCTCTTTGTACAAGACACATTTGAAACATTTAAGTGTATGTTATGGTGAACTTAATGTAGTAGAAGAGAAGAACTCCCCAAATTTGTGGCACCGCATATTAGGACACATTAGTACAAGGGTTTTAAATGTCTTGCAGATATATCTCTTGTTGTTGATACTATAGTTGCTCTTTACCCTTGTGATCATTATTTGGCATGTAAGCATCGTAGAGCTTCTTTTGCCAGGAAGTCTACTAAGAGGCATGCTAAGCTAGATGTAACACCGTCCCCAAGTATATTTACTTTTAACAAATCATGTAATAAATCTTGAAGAACGAATTTTGAATTTACGAGGTTGTAAATTTTGTTAATTCTTTTGTGTTAATAGTAAATTGCACATGGGGCCCACATCGGGAGCGGGGACCACCCGATAATTCCGGGACCACATATTATATTCATCTTGGTCTAGATAATATTTATATGGTGGTAGATATTTTATTCGGGCCATAGAAAGGGCATAGGGTTGATCCGACGGTCAAACGAGGCCCAATTACCAGTATTGGTAATTTATCAGATAACAGCCCGAAACGGATTTCGGAGACTTCTAAATTAAAGTGGAGGAATGTATATTCATTTTAAAAGTCCATAATGATGGGAAACACATAATATATTTTATTTGACCCGATAAAATAAAATATAATTAAAACAGTCCGAGAAATACAACTTTCGGGGCCGATTGTACAGTTCGGGGACACAAAGGGATGACCTTCCACATAAGTGGGGGCCAACCCACGTTTTTAGCCTTGTATTTGGACAAGGTAGCCGCACCATCACATGGGAAATAAGCCATGAGATGATATTGGAGCCAAACACATTTAAGGAAGTGGACCCCCTTCCATGTATGAATGAGAGAAATGCCAAAAAGGCATTCTCAATCAATCCCTACCTCCTTAGCTCGACCAAGGCCATCAAAGAAGAAGAAAAGAAAGCTCTCAAACCTTTCTCCGTTGTTGAAATTCGAGCTCAAGCAAAGTTGGTCAAAAGAGGAAGCTTGAAGAAGGAAAAAGTTAGGAAAAGTGTGAAGGATTAAGGTAATAACCTTATAATAACTTTTCCTCTACTTTTATTTTATCATATGGCTTATGCAGCATATGGATGACCCCTAGGCTTTTTCTACATGTTTAGAAATGTAGGATGAGGGGTTGGAAGGTAGTTCTAAATCCAAAAACGGACTTAGAAGCCAAAACGACCGGTTCGTCGAAAAATAACCTTTTAGAGGTTATTTGTATTGATATGAGTTTTGTGATGATAAAACCATGTTAGGAGCTTAACTAAAGAGTTTCTAGAGTTCGCCGGAGTTTGTCGGAGTTTCGCCGGAGTTTCACCGGAGTTCAACCAAGGAGCGTAGAACACGCTATAGCTCATTTAAGGTGAGTGGACAACTTAATATCTTATAACTTTTGGGTTAATTATGAGATTACCTAAATAAATGTTATATAAATTCAAAATGATATTTAAAAGATATTTAAACATGCAATTAGCCAAAATGATTAGGCTTGTATGAAATGGATTACTCCAATATGCATGGAATATGATATGAGAATTTCTATGAAATTGCATGCTATGGATTAAAGGGTAAAGGAAGCCTAGAATGAAAATTATTAACTTAATATATATGATGATTAGGTTGATATGTATAAGGCTTGAAATGATGGTCAACGAGAGCGTTGACCGATTGATAATGGATTAGTCAATACCGATTGGTATTAGTTAATTGTGAATTTACATAAATGCATGGATTTGCATGGATTGAGATACATAAGATTTATATGACGTAGACTCCATCTAGGTTGATAGGAGGTTGATCATAAAATTATATATTGGAGGAGGACCCTAGGACTTAAAGTCCTTAACACTCAAATTATATATTGGTGGAGGACCCTAGGACTTAAAGTCCTTAACACTCGGATTATATATTGGTGAAGGACCCTAGGACGAAAAGTCCTTAACACTCGGATTATATATTGGTGGAGGACCCTAGGACTTAAAGTCCTTAACTCGGATTATATATTGGTGGAGGACCCTAGGACGAAAAGTCCTTAACACTCGGTTTATAAATTGGTGGATCACCCAAGGATTATGATCCTCAAAACTCATAGGTTATGGTATATAAATATGGATAAGGAGGAGTCCTATACACTCATGGACATATGGGTGGGCTGGAGGGTTTAGTCAAGAATATTGACTATTACTATTTTCCCAAATAAAACGGTGATCTACGGATCGGGTATTTTTCAAGTGTATATGTACTATTAAGTATTTCTTAACTTGGGGGGAAAAGACTATTTATATAAGTATCACCCTATGTTTGGGTCTTATACTTGAAACGCTAGTTATTCTATATTTAGCCTGCTACTCGCTCAGTACTTGTACTGACCCCCTTCGGGGGGGCCCCACCATTTTCAGGTTGAAGCTAGGGCTTGTTGTTGGGTGTGTTTCGGAAAAAACGAAGAAATATTAATTAAATAAAATTAATTAATAAACAAAATAGCTAAAAGATACGGTGGCTAACGAACGATCGTTTGAGCACACAAACGAAAGTCCCGGCGAACTGGAACAATAGCAGAACACTAGGGAAATTTGGGAGTAGCTGGAAGAGTTTTTAGCTCAAGAAAACGTGAGGAAAGTATTGTGCGTTGTCAAACCGTTTGTTTGTTGCAAAGCACCTGCCAGCTATTTATAGGAGGATTTGTTGTGTGTTAAATGGGGTGTTAATGGACCTGAACGTTGGACATCAATGACAAGTCCGTTGGGCATTGAATCGTCCATAAACTGTCCATTTAACGCAGCATTAAAAGAGAAAAACGTTGGGCATTAATTGTTGTAACGGACCAGAAGACCTTCTGTTGCGAACAGAAGACCTCGAGGGTCTGTGTCGCGAACAGAAGGCCTCGAGGGTCTCTGTTGCGAACAGAAGACCTCGAGGGTCTCTGTTGCGAACAGAAGACCTCGAGGGTCTCTGTTGCGAACAGAAGACCTCGAGGGTCTCTGTTGCGAACAGAAGACCTCGAGGGTCTCTGTTGCGAGCAGAAGACCTCGAGCGTTTCTGTTCCGGACAGAACTCCACCCATTCTGTCACTGGGAAAAATAAAACGTTACGGTAAGAAACAAAAATTAGACCGTATCTTTGAATGATAGGTTTTCGGACGACATTCGTGTCCGCAAGGTTTTCGGGTGAAAATCCCTTGAGTTTTTCGGTGTGAGATAAAACACACTAGAAACTCATCACTTTCCTAGTTTTTCCATTTCAACGAGTGAACTTCGAGAATCAATTTCTCATTCACCCGTTATCCGTTTTGAGTGTACCACATATCGAATTGTAGCCCTTAACAAGGACAATCCGAAACCACATTGACCCGACCCAAATAGGAAGTGGACCCCACTCAAATAATTGCCCCAAAATGACCATTTAATGCAACTTTTAACACATTTTTCCAACAATCCCCCACATGAATGAAAATTGATTTTCGAGACTTAAAAGACACGAAGATAGGAGGACACGTTGTGTTCACCGGATGATCCTTTCAAACGGAGAGGTAGGTTTTATCCTTTGAACCTTCCGTTGTAGAGACATGTTTATTTACTGGCTGTCTAGTAGACTCGATGTCCTTGAACTATACTGTCGTCGTGTAAACATTGACTTATCTTTACACAAGAACCTTCCAACTTTGTTCCGTTCTCATGGGTGTGCCCGTTTTGGCCATGGGTCACTGTCCTGGTTCTGCAAGAGTTTCTAAAGAACTGAGCCTTTACAGTTCTCCTTTTGAAGCGGCCCTATTCTCTCTCACATAGGTGATTCTTTCACGAGTATCCCGCATACTCTTCCAATGTTATCGAGTAGATCAACATTTTAGAATCATTAAAGCAAACGTTTTCGCTAACCTCGTGCGGGAGTCACTGTTTTAACGAGGAGTGGGTAGGAGTCCGGGACCCCCACAGTGACCATCCTTCGCTCTATAATTTAGTTGTCCCTTTTGAACCTAGAACCAACTAGGTTGGGTATCCACTATAGAACTTTTCAATTCACGGGCTTTAGGCCCATTCCTCGTGACAACTTCTCCAACAATTCTCTATCCAATGCCTTGGTTAGCGGATCCGCTATGTTATCCTTTGACTTCACGTAGTCAACAGTGATAACACCCGTTGTGAGGAGTTGTTTAATGGTGTTATGTCAACGACGAACGTGTCTAGACTTACCATTGTAGAGATTGCTCTGTGCCCTTCCAATTGCCGCTTGACAATCGCAATGTATGCATATTGGAGGGACAGGCTTCTCCCAACTTGGAATATCCTCGAGAAAATGGCGTAGCCATTCAGCCTCTTCAGTGCACTTATCCAAGGCTATTAGCTCAGACTCCATCGTGTACTAGCTATTAACGTTTGTTTTGAGGATTTCCATGACACAGATGCACCTCCCAAAGTGAAAACATATCCACTTGTGGACTTAGAGTCCTTTATGTCGGATATCCAACTAGCGTCGCTATACCCTTCAAGTAAACCTGGATATCTTTCATAGTGCAGTCCAAGATTTTGGGTTTTACGTAAATACCTCAAAACCCTTATTATTGCCCTCCAGTGTTCATCACCGGGGTTGCTAGTATATCTACTTAGCTTACTAACCACAAAGGCAATATCAGGCCTGGTACAACTCATTAGATACATCAAGCTTCCAATAATCCTAGCGTATTCTACTTGAGAAATACACTCTCCACGATTTTTGGTAAGTTGTACGTTTTTATCTAATGGAGTCCTTGCCTCTTGATAATCATCCTTATTAAATTTCGTAAGGATTTTATCAACGTAATGGGATTGGCTTAGCGTAAGACC